TAGGTTGCTCAAAAACTACTTTTATATTTTTTACATTTTAATCATAATAAACAATGAATTCACAACAAATTTCTCACCGGCCTAAAAAGATAGCCACTTTTTTTTAATGTTCGAAGCTATTAAAACAAATAATCGATACATTAATATGAATGCAATAAATACAACAATCTTTTAATGTTTAACTAAACTATAATTAATATTATTATTCCATTTTCACTCATTTAAATTTAATGTCTTCTTAGTAAAGAAGACCTAAAACTGAAAAGTTTGGGTAGATGTTTTTTCATACTAAAGAATTTTAAAATTGTTAAAATTATTAAAAGAAACCGACGTAACTAAAGTTGAAACTTTAACAGTTGATCGAAAAGAAAATTTTTTCATTAGGTTTTTTAGGTAGTATAGCGAACATTACGAAAAACAGAAAAAGTATGCTCAAGCATTTAATTCTATAAATATCGTCATCAATTGTGATGCATCACGATTATTATCTGATCAATTGATTTAGATGCTTGAGAACAGCCTTAGTCGACTAAGCCGGATTTTAAATATTGACTTAGGTTGTTCTCAAGCATCTCCCTCTATGGCTAATAAAACTATCTGATTGGTTGAAAAAATGGATAGTGTTTAATCTACTAACAACACATCTTTTTTTTTTCATAGAGTTACTCTGATTGGCTTAAATTTAAAATTCGCATTTGCATAATGAATTTCCGGCAAAATCGTATTTCAATTAATTTCGATCAATCGAATGGTTGAGCAATTAGTCAAGTCGATAAATAAGGGCGATTACAAACACTATCAGTTCCTGGTTTTAATTTGGCAGCGCACATTTATTATTGTATTAAGAAACTATTTATCGTTATGCTATAAAAATTTGATACTCCAAACTTATTCTGATTTCCGGTTTGCATTTAAACTAGAGATTATACCTGGGTAGAGATTTTTTTGACGGATACAATCTCTAATTTAAACGATTATACGATTAGGGTAGCACTGAAGATTTTTCACAAATCTCTATAAAATTTCCAACATCAGCTATCAGCTTAACGGTTCAAGCCGCCGACTTGAGTCGAGAAAAGATTTTCATGATTCGTTGGTTTTTAACCGAGCTTTATTTTTGCCTACTTTAGTACATACACTACAGCTAATCTTATTACCACAATTTACAAAAAATATTAAGTTTAAATATTGACAAACTACAAACCAAAAAAAATTTTCTAAAAATCTATTGTTTAATATTTACCAAAACCAACTTCTTCTATTAGGTTTTCCAACTCTAACCACTTGGTCATTCTTATTACTCCATATTAACTCCCTCGTTCTTTGTTCTTTATCAACTTCTTCAACTCTTTCACAAACATTTTCTAATGTATCATTAAATGTATCATTATTGACGATTTCTTCAAATAAATTTAGTAAAATTTTTGAATCAGCTCTAATATTTTGATCTTCATCAATCATAATAATATTATCATGATCCATCATTTCTATCCATTTTGGGTTTCCAGTAATTATTCTGCCGTCATTTAGTGGAACAGAATTATTAGATTCTACAATTTTACGAATTAATTTCCAAGCACATGAAGCATATTTTTGATCATCAAAAGCACTTTCTTCAAAATTAGGAATTAGACCTATTTGATTAATTATCCAAGTTCGTTCTTCATTTTCTAATTTGTCAACTGCTACTAATAGAGACAAAACAATATATATATATATAAGAACTATGACATACAATATCATACAGTATAATACAGTAGTTACTAATAAAATAAAAATTTACCATTAATGTCAGGTTCTCTGGCTAATTTATCAATATAAGAAAGACGACCACCAATTCGACTAACAATTTTTCTCAGGTCTTCTTCAGAGTCGTTTTTTCGTTTTGCTTTTAACAAGTTTACCGCCTCTTCATCTTTTAATTCACTTACTCTTATAACCTCCATTCGGGAAGCATCTCTCTCTTAGTTATAAATTACAAATGAGGATTAAGTACCGTATATTAAAATTTATACATATATATATAAGAAATATTTACTCATGCGTTCGTGTGTTAAATAATCATCGGTATTAAATATCATTGTCACAATCTTAGTAGCAGCCCATGATTCAGCACGTTGTTGCAATAATTCTAACAGATCATCACCTTCTTCATCATCTTTAAGTGCATGAATGTTATTGATAACAAGAACTAATGGGCGACCACGTCTTTTAGAATATTTTATTGCAACTGCTTCTACCATATTTAAAGCTTTTTCAACATCAAGTAATGCGGAACCTAAGATAAATCAAATGATATAATCATAAATATATATATATTATTATATATGAAATTACAGTATGCATAAAATTTTGAGGTTACCTCGTTCAGGAGCTTCTCTGGCAAAAAGCTGACCAACGTAATCTTCTCTATAAGTATAGTTTAGAGCTTTACCCAATCTAACTTTAAAAATTTCATTATCTGAATGTGCATCAGTAAATACAACACCATATTGTTTAATTCTATCCATTGCATTTAAAATTAATTGAGTTTTTCCCGTTCCTCGTTCACCTACAATTAAAAAGTATTTTCCAGGAGCGCGACCTTTTACAACTTCACGAATTTTTTTTGATTCATCTCTTTTGAAGAAGTCTTCTCCTGTTCTAGTTTTTATTAACGGTGCAGGTTTTGTGAACGCCAATTCTACTTTGTGAACTTCGTTCCATTCGTACCTAGATAAATTTGAATTAGATTAATTGAAATTGAAATTTAAAATAATAGGTTTAAATAGTTTTTTTTTTTCACTACTTACCATGCTTGATAAAATACACCACCAAGGCCAACAGCAGCTAATCCCATTACAGTTGTCAAAACAGCATCCATGACTCGAGGTGATAGAAATGATCGTCTCTTCTTTTCATCAGGGTCCTTTTTATTCGATTTCGGATCATTGTCCCTATCTAACGCAGTTTCAGCAGATTTTTCTACAATCGGTTGAAATGGATCTATCATTCACATAAAAAATAAAGTTATCTATAGTTTAGAATTTCATCAATGTGAGTTATTTTTTCTTTTATTTTTTTTTAAAAAAAAAATTTTCTAAACCAAATAAATTTAATTTGATTACCAGGAAAAGTATCCCAAACACCCGCAGCATTAGTATCTTGATTTAAACCTCTTTTTAAAATTATTTGAGGTTGTTGTTTAGAAAAATTAATTTTAATCTTTGGATTATCATATACTAATTTGAATGAGGTTAAATTATTTTTATTGCTATAAAAACGAATAATAACATTCTCTTTTTTTATAAATGCGGTATTATAAAAACGCAATTTTAATAATGTTGTAATTGAATGAATTCGATTAATTTGATGCATTATAGAAATTGTTTTCGAGAAAATTAAGAATTTGATGATTTTTTAATTAATTTATCGTAGAAAAAAGAATGTTCTGTTAACGCAGGGGATTATTATTATCAAACTGTGTTACACGAATTTGCGACATGGAGCGAAAAAGTATTATAATAAAATGGTTAAGTTTTTATTTTTTTAATTACGTAGTACATATGTGTATTTTTTTTTTTTTTTTCGAAAAATTAACTTTTAAAACGATTGTAGGTACATACGTACGCACGTTCTGGTAAATCGATTTTTTTGTGATTATTCTCTTTAAATTTATGGTCTTTTTTATTATGTATGCATGCAGTTAATAAATAACAAAGGGTAATGCCCGATAGCGATTAAATCATTGCTATAAATGAAATCTCATTGTATTAGGGTGGCTTAGCTACTAAGCAAAAACGTTCGATACATCATTATCCTAATAGACAACAATGGTTTTAATATGAGTTAGGGTAGGGTTACAAGTACCTTAGTTTGTTGATCAGGGTTAGCATATCCGACGATGAATGGATTTAGGAGTTAGAATGATGTAATCTGCGTTGACATGTCTGATAGCTAACCGAATTTTGGCTCGTATTTTCACCTATTGGAAGGATTTCAGGAACATCAAACCTCTATAAATGCACCCTATGTCTCAGTTCCAACTAATAATGACACTTATAAAATTACTCTCTAGAAATGCACACCCTCTACAAATGCCCAAAAAATTCGGTTAGCTATTAGACACCCTATATTCTGCTAATACTTCTCAGAAAATTTAAAATTCGACCTGTGCTATAACTTAAATTGTTGTGATCACCCGACCTTTTAAATTTCACCTGAGTTGTAGAGTTGATCTACACTGAGAGATTTCCCTTTAATCACTTTTGGTTATTTTAGGTGATTTTTTATGTAGAAATTTCAATAAGTGAACTATATTTTAATTTTTGCGAAGATAGTAAAAGTGACCCGGTTCAAAAGAGAACCACTGTAAACACCCGGTATAATTAACTAATAGTTATGAAAACAAATGGCAAAAAAGACTATGTAATGAAATATGGCAACAACTCCTCAGCAATCAATCAAGAATGATGTAGCTAGAGCCAACAAAGCCTCAATGACAACAATACAATGATTTTTGAAAGTATGTAAAAATATTTATTATATGTGATTCAGTATATATTTACTCTAATAATAAATTGTTATTGGACAGACTATCGTCATCAGTCATGCATATATTAATTATATGATAAAAATTACAATCTTCGAGAACTATCAACACGTATATATTAAAACTCTTTAATAAGAAAGTTATTAAGGGTCAACTCTCTATAATGAATTGATATCATCAATAAAAGACAGATTGACCGTAGATAAATCTTGCTTGAACATGTTATATACATATTTAATTCATTCAACATTTTCAACTTGATTTAATTCGCTAAAATTCAATTCAGGTCGGATTGGATTCTGATCCTGTCGTTATCCCAACCATCATATAAATATGATAAAACTTTGGATTGGCTCCGGACTCAAACCGAATTTCGGATCCGGTTTCGGTTAATCCCGGACCAGGTCAAGGTTTAACCCGATTTGGCATTAACATATATAAAAATACTATGCTAACGAGGATTTCATATGATCAAAGCGGGTTTTACCAGAATTCAGTGCGGGTTTTACCCTGAAATAAAATATTTAGACCATATAATTTTGGACATTGAGCATACTGTATACTTGCTAGTTAAAACCCAGGCTTCGAAAAAAAAAAAACAATTGCTATAGAACGCCGAGTAGGCGTACTTCAAAAAAAACACTATAACATGAGAATGTATACTATTTGTTTAAATAAATATAAATAAAGTTTTTGAGATATTAATTGGCCAGGGTTTGAGGTTTGGGCGGCATGTATAATTGGACATTAAAATGTACAACACGGGTGCAAGCTTTTGGAAGGTCAGGTGTAGCTACGCGCAACATTAGGTGAGTCAATAATAATCAAATACTGTATATTGGAATATTGAACAAAAGACAACTCAACAAGAATGCCATTTTACCAACAATTATTTCGCTGATAAATTTTTTATAATCCTACTCATAACCCTAAAATATGATTATTGTTGAAATTGGCAAAATTGCTTTCTGGAAATTATGATGGTCTCAAATGCTTTGACAAATGGTTTACAAAAATGCACGGATATGTAGCAATACTGCACCGTTTGTAAACAAAAGTAAAAATAAAATAAATAAAATGGATGATTATCTCTGTTCTAAATAGGCTGGATTCGCCGAATATCGATATGGAGAGATAGTGCATTCAATATTACGGAAGTTAAATTAACCACATATGGTTGGAAGAAAACTTTGATAGCGATAGATACCGTAGATATCAAGATATGGTTTTATTTTCATAGTTCAAAAAAATATCAATAATACACAAATGGTAGTGTTAAATAAATATTTATTCTCCGGATTTTACCGCCAGTTACGTTATTTTGGTGATGATTTTCGTCTGCCAAAATAACAAGTCATTTGGAATATTAAAGAATAATGGAAACCAATCGTAAGCTTTCGGATAATACCGATACCGTTACTGACTAGATAGCGATAGTATTTTTACAACTATATAATTCGTTATTGGCCACTTTACGTTCAATATTAATAATCAAAAAACAACTCTTATTCCTGGCCAAAAAAGTGATAATATTAATAGTAATTACCCATGACATCTCTATTTCTGTACTTATTGTTACATAAATTGAATTACGTATCACCGATTAAACTTAATTTCGTTAAATATTTTAAACCGATTTTCCCTTGACAGCACTCGTGGCTAGAGCTGTTACCCGGGTCATGACCCGGGTTAACAGGTCATATGAAAAATCATAAATTAATTATAATGACTCTTGTTTAGAGCTATTGCCTGGGTCAATATTTACGTAGATTACTCTCGAGAGTTTAGAGTTTATAGAATTTTATAATTTTATGTTGTGTATTAATATATAGCAAATACTTAAACTGGAACTTTTCAGATTTTGTATCCAAAAATTTCTCAACCTTGCTCATAATTTGAGTTCATCTGTTTTCTACGTCATAAATACTGGGTCGTTAGATTTTATCCATGTTATGAATTTTATCTATGTTATTCATGACTCGTTTAACTCGATTTTGACCCGTGACCCGTCAAGAAGCTGACCCTACAGGTCAACCCGACCAGGGTGAGAGCTCTCTACTCCTCTCTAAATGGACATTTAGACACAAAGAATCGGAATTTATTTGGAGAGGTTGCACCTAGGGTGTTCTAAAGCGCCTAAATTGATTTTTTTGATTAGTGGAAAACAGTTTAGCTGGTCAAGTGAGTTCACTATCGCATTTGTAATATGAATCTTCAACAAAAATAGGGTTGTTATTGGGCTGGTCCAATAAAAAAAAAGTTTAGAATTGGACCGAATTGGACTGGACCAAATAATACAATTTGATCGGTTTAAATTTATTTTACTAATATCACATGACACACTGATTGGTCCAATTGTGATCCAATAACAACCCTGCTTGAGAACACTATACAGTAAAACTCCATAAATGCACGCTCTTGGGACTGAACTTTAACAACGTGCATTTAGAGAGGGTGTGCATTTATATTTATAGAGGTTTCACTGTATATAAAAATGCTTCAAACAAAGAAATGTTCGATATCGTTAACTGTAAAGTGAAGATTTGATACAGTATCTTGTCGCTTAATTATCTATCACGCTACATTTTCATAGCTGACACTAGAACAGCTCTTTATCGTTATCAAACTTCTGAATTATGTCGTAATTTATGGACGATACTACGTCCATGATTTGCGTTATATCTCGTGCGAGGTAGACTATTAGATCAGGAACACAATATTTACCTCATCTAACTTCAATTCCTTCTCCTCTCTTTAAAGTTCTTCATGTATATATTCGTTTTCAATATTTGGCTCGGTATAGAGTTTGGAACCGGTTTTATTTCTCATATGTAAAACCGATTTAACCGGTTCCAAACTATACAGCGACCCACGTGCAAGAAGCCCGCTGTAGTCGTCAGAGTTCTTAGAACTGCTAGAAGTTTTTCATACTACATTTCTGTAGACCACAATTAACGCACAAGTAAAGTGAGCCACGTGTAAGAAACCCACCGTAGTTGTGTGAGTTTCGGACTCTGAGAATCTTCTATACTACTTACAAAGAAAACAACCAAGAGTTGAACCAGGGTCATTTGATTTCTCAGTCTTAGAAGGGAATTAATATATTGATGTTTACGCTTCAAAAAAATTTCCTTTAAACTTTTGACTTTCAACTATTTCTGAGTTATTATTATTATTTAAAATTATTTCTAGATTTTTTTTTTAATGTGTTGCCTTTTTTTGAAATGAAAACGTAAAGTTAGCACGATATTGATAAAACCCTATAAAAGCTATATTGGCTAGGTGGTGTTATATCGAAATAAGCAGAAGTATATATAACGATAGAGTGTTTATACTTTACAGAAACTTAAATGTCTTAATACGCAGTAACTGCGTAGTAACGACGTAGTAATTACATACTTACTATTAAATTTAATCGTAGCTACATAGTTACTATGCAGTTACTGCGCATTAAGAGATTCAAAAGTTTCTGTATAGTACATAATTTATTAGGGTGTCTAATGCATAAGTAGCTACGCGACATTGTCGCTAAGAAATGTCGAATGAATTTTTATCACATGACTCGCGCGCGCGATATGTGGATGTATGCTAAGTAGGGTTATCCAAATTATAATAAAACAATATAAACCGCACCAGTTTTAAAATGGTGTGTTTATATGTTTTATTATAAGTTTGAGCACTCCATTAACAACCCTAAATGCTAAGTTTATCCCGCACTAGACCGGAAGCTATTTTCCTACAGAGTTTAACAAGTCATTGTCAAAATAACACGTAAATATCTGTTTAACTATCGCTATTGCGTAATAGGTTTTACATCATTTTTCATACGTAATAAATGGAAAATTCCATTTTATTTAATAAAATTTAAACTATTTACAAGATACCAGTATTATGTAATAGCACTAAATAAGACAAATATAAAAATATATCAAAAATAAAATAAAATAAAATAAATTAACTACTTACTGTTATATGAATACAAGTGAATAAGAAAAAGAAATTCATATATAGGACATAAACGAAATTTTCGTGTCGTACTGTTACTTTAAACAATATGATAATTATGTTCTACGACCTATAACAAAACTAAAAGTTTTTCGTCTTCCCGTTTTCTTTTTTACAGGTTGCTGACTTAATGAAGTTTCTGGTAAAGTAAGCGGTGTCTCTTTTTTTGCCGACCAGTCTTTAGACAAAATTTCCTCGAAACCTTTAGCTTCCATTATACGATTGAGAATCTTGTTAATATAAAGAGACATCGACTTGTTGGAATCTTTAAGTGCTTTTATTTCATCTTGTAATTCTATAAAGTTGATAAAAATAAATGCGTTAAGATCCTGCTTGAGTTTTGAAAAATAAATAAGAAATGAAATAAAATACAAACTTTCAATCACTGTATGGTCACTCCCTTTATGCGTAGCACGATTTAATTCGGCTTCCAAATCTATGGCCATAGATTTTATGTTGACTATTGCATCATCTTTATTTGTGAAATTTGTCACTTTTTCTGCTATGTTGGTATACTTTGCATTTCCCTTTTTAAAAAATTGTATACATATATTAATTCATTTAATAGCTATATTAATAATTATATTAATAGTAATACATATGCTTTTATTTACCTGCATGATATTATCTAGCACAAACTCGCCTTTCATGGTCTTTTCATGTAATAATTGTCGATATCTTTCACTGTCTTCCATTAATGTCTGATTAATGTGCTTAACTTGACCAAGTTCATTTTCTAAATAATGAATCCTGGCGACATGATCCTTGTTTAAATTCATTGAGTTGACGCGCATCCGTTCTATGTTTTCAACTTCTGTGACCAGCTCATTAACACGCCTCTCAAGTTCTTTAATGGTTCTTTTAGCAACCTTTACTTCTCGGACAGCCGTATAATACGATGTCGCTGATCCTGCTGTAGGTGTTGTTGGTGACGAAGGTGGACTGTCATCTATATATCATAGATAGTAAATTTTGAAAATTAGTTTCTTCCTGACCTTCCCATCGTTTAAAAAATTACTTCTAAAAATGATAAAATTGATAAATTGGGATTATACCATCATTAGAACTTGTGTTCCCATTCCTCTTTTTCGAAGCATCATTTTGTTGCTTAAGAGTATTAATGGTTTCTTGAAGCGCTTTAATTTGATCGGTCAATTCGGACTCTCGCACTTGCCATCCATGTTGATCCTTGTCAAAAGCTTCCGTCTGAAATATGCGTATTAATTCCAATATCCATCTTTATATTATTTCTTTATTCAAATTTTACAAATTTTAATAATAATAAAAATTCATACCTCCTCCCTCAATTTCAGTTCTATTTCTTGTTTGGTTTTCAAAAAGCCTTCATTTTTTTTTTTTAGTTCTTCTTTTTCCTGTCCTTGTTGATAAAGTTCAGATTCAATCCGTGTATATGCATTATGATTACTTGTAATTTCCTGCTGAAGAGAATAATTCTTTTTGCGTAGAAAGTTATTGTCATCCGCTAATGTAGAGTTCTCTTTATTGGTACGTTCAAGTTGTTCATGAACCTATTTTAAGAATATATTTTTAGAAAAATATATATATGTCAAATTCAACTTTAATATTAAGAATTTTCAGCATTGGCATTTATCTATGAAGTTTGAATCTCATTAGACTGAAATCCGATACACTGTAAAACCGGAGTCTATCAAGAAATTTTTGTAAATGCTCCGGTTTTTTCTTTTTCTTTTTTTTTTTTTTTCTAAAAAAAACTGGGTTCATCGGCTTATTCAAGCTTCAGGTTGGCATTAACTAATATAATAATTTATAATAAATAATAATAATTATAATAACTTACCAAAGCATTAAGATTTTGAAAATTTTCTACTTGTTGTCGTAGCGCTGCCAATTCTCCGTCAAAAGACATTTTTTTGGATCAGAGTTACAGATAAAAATTTATTGGTAAATTAATATCAGCCATTATTTGTCACATGTAAAAAAATTAAGCATATCGGTCAAATGATGTCCTACCTGCCTAAAATTCGTACATTAAACCTACAATTGGTACAATCGTAAAAAAATTTTTTTTGTACTCTTAGCACTAAAAGTTTTTTTTTTTTTACTAGTGCTTAAATCTTATTAAAATAATAACGATAAACTTTAATTAAAATTATGAAATGTTGGGTGAGACGATCTGAAAATATTTACTCCTTGATCTACGTATGACCGATAATCAAATTTACTCATTTCAGAATGACAGATTCTTTTCTCACCTTTTTCAAAAAAACTTAGTCAATGTGCAGCTTTCAATGCTAGCAAATCGAAGTCACGATGCTTTTTGAGATCTATTGTTAGGAGCAAGGATCAGCTATGTCCTCCTTGAAACTGTTTATTAGCTTTATTCTTTACACTGTGTATATAATTCTAAAGCATGGTGCAATTATAATAATTAGACACCCGTAAGACAAAATATTGGCTTAATTGGTGTTTACTAACAGGTTTAAAAGACCAAGTAAATTCTTGTTCATAACAAAAATATGATTCAGACTTTTCGAGCAGTGAATTGCGTTACTACTTTTAAAATAATGGTTTTTTATTTTTATTTATTAAAATAGTAAAATATTATTATATTTTATTATTATTTCCTATATATTATATCATATAAAAAAAAACAAGTTTACTAAAATGCACCTATGGTGCTAAACACCATAAGTGCTATTTCTCAAAGTAAAAATTTTCATGGCCTGAAACCAAAATCGGGTCCTTATATCTAACCTACATTATATTATATAAAACTCTTTCTTTATCCTAAAACTGCACCCTAACTCTAAATTTTATTAATAAAACTTATATATAATGTTTAACACCCATAGGCGCATTTTATAATTTTTGAAAAAAAAGCTATTACAGATTTATTATAATTATACTGTATAATAGCTAAACTAAGTATTTTTATAAATATTAATTATTTTAATATTTTTAATTTTTTATATATAAACTAATTTAAGTAAAATTACTATTAGTTTTAAAAAAAAACTAAAAAAAAAATTGGATTTATATTTTTTAAAGCCAAAATTTTTTAGCTTTAAATAATATTAATATTTAAAAAAAATTAATTATTTTTTGTTTACAGTATAAAATATATTATTTATAATCTTTTGTTTTTATTTTTTAAATTGTTTTATAATATATTTAATTTTTTTTTATATAATATTGCATAATTCTTTATTTAATTTATATATTCTTTTAATATTTTGTAAAATTTTTTATATATATAAAAAAAAATACAAATATTTATACTTTTAGCTACTAGCTTTTTAATAAATTAATAATTATTTAAACAAATTCAAATATTTTAAAATAGATTATAATTATATTTTTACAGAACACTCTTTCCAACAATTATCTGGACCAAAATTTCTCACAAAAGAAAAGTTAAGTTTGGATACTAGAGAGTAGAAAAAACCTGTAGTAGATAAACAACAGAGCAGTTTTTATAAAGGTCAACCTTTTTGCTTTTATGGGAACTCCTTTATATATTCAACATGCAAGCCAAAAGCATCTTTATACAAGATAACTGGCTGGGAAGTGTGCCCTTGTATATGAAATTTTGGTGGAGAATATGGTTTTTTTTTGTCAACAAAGTTTTCTGTTGCTAAATAATTGAGGAATAGTGAAGAACTTGCTATTCTTAAACCAACTCCTTTCTTACTTACTTCCGCTTTCCTGCTGGCCTTCCAAATTTTTTTTACAAAAAGTAGAGATTTGGCTTACTCCTTCTAAAAGATCAGCATTGTTTATATCTCAAACTCAGTAGAATACAACCATATATCTTGTTTACTTGCAGATACGATGCTACTTCATATGATCTAGATCGGGGTTTCCAGTTAATGAGGTATCTGAGATGGGTTGATAGTCAGATGGTGTATACAATAAAGCTTGCTTTACATAGAGATATACAATCATTATAGTTGTTATATAATTTTTATTTTAACCTGGCATGGGTTTTAATAGTACTGTTTTTTTTGTTTTCTTTTTTTGCATTTTTTTTTTATATTCCTTTTCGTATTTATTTTTGTTTTTTTTTATTATTTTTCTTTGTTTTTTCTTTTTCCCTTTTTTCATCATATTCATTTTCTTTTGTTTTTTTTTTTTATTTTCCTTATTTTCCATGTTCCTTTGAAGAAAAAAAAATATTAAGAAAAAGGCAATCTTGACAAAACTAGCAATAAGCTTTCAGTGATTTTTTTAAAGAGTCATCTAGTAAGTTAGATACTGAGGAGGAGTAAATTATTGCTGTGGCAGATCATATCTGAGTATCTCTGAGCAGCTGGGTAAGTCTTTATTAAAGAGAAGGAAGAGTTGTTGGCAATAGCTGAGAACTTATGTATCTATTATGCATTTCTTATACAATAAAGGCAGAATTGCCAAATTAAAAAAAAAATATAATTAAATTTTAGCTAATTTTAATTTAATTTAATAATAAAAAATTAAAAATTATTATGAAATTTTAAAATTTAATTATAATTAATAAAATTATTAGATATTAATTAATAATTTTTTTCACTAACAACTCTTCCCAACGATCATTTTTACCACAAAAAAAATCCAAAATTCTTAAAAAATACTAGTCTTCATAAAGGTTGAAACAGACAAAGAAGAAGTTCTTAAGCTCTGTAACTCAGCAGTTGTTATTTAGAGGTAGTTTTTATACACTACCTGCTAACTTCCTCAGAGTTTATCACTCATCACAGGAGCCAGGCACTTGTCATTTAGAAATAGTTCTCATATGCTATTTGCCAACGAGCTCAGAGTTTATTACTTATCTGAAAAAATAAGGAGAGTATCTGTGCCTTCCTATGGATTCAGTGTGTTAAGTAAAGAAAATACACACTCCTTTACTAAACAAAACAAAGTGGTTTCGTTTTTTTTCTCTGCCTTCTCGCCACTCTTCCAAAATTTTCCATAAAAGTGGGAAAAATGGTTTACCCTCTCCAAAAGATCAGTATTGTTTACACCTCCCAAATCTGGACAGTTCTGGCAGACTGTGATCATGTGTCTAGTTTGTTTTGTTTATAGACCATGCTGCTTCACGTAATACTGAGGTTGGCTGCTTATGTTGTTTAGGAGTTCAGATAATCTAGTCAGAAAATTTACTTGATAAGACGAAGCTTTACAATAGAGATATATAAATATTATATTTGTTATATAATTTTTTCAGCCTGGCATAGGTAATAGTAGTGCCAAAAAAGACAGAATTTTCTGCAGTTCTTTTTGTTTTCTTTTCTTTGTAATTTTTTCTTTTATATTCCCTTTTGTATTTGTTTTCTTTTTATATATTCTTCTTTGTTTTTTTTTTTTTTGTCGTTTTTGTCGTTTTTGTTTTATCTATGTTTTTTGTTTTCTTATCACACCCCTTTGAAGAAGGAAAAATGTTAAGAAAAAGGCAATCTTGACAAAGCTAGCAATAAGCTTTTAGTGATTTTTTCAAGAAGTCATCTAGCAAGTTAGATGCTAGAGATGAATGAATTATTGATGTGACAGATTGCACTTGGGCACCATTACGAACAACCGAGTGAGTCTTTATTGAAAAGTAGGAGGGTAGAAGGCATTAAGTTTATTGCAGGCTTTTTGTTTGGAAACCATGTATTTAGATTACACACTTCTAATACAATAAAGGCAGAATTGCCAAATTAAAAAAAAAAAAAATTAATAATTTTTTTTTTTAGTATAAATTTTGTTGATCAAATTCATAGTTTAATCAAATTTATATGTTTTGATTTATTATTAATAACTTGTAATTTAGTAACTCAATTTTGATAATTTTGATATTATTTGAAGCCTCTTACTAAGAGGATTCAAATAGTATTAAAATTAGAATAAATGTATAGATCGCACCCCACGACATGTTTAGATATCGTCTGCCAATCAGAAAGCAGATCAGTGATCTGTTTATTATTTTTTTTTTTAAAAATAAGTGATTTATTTTTTTTGTTTCTCTTTTTGCTTTGTTTTTTTATATACTATACTAATGCTTATTTGTTTTTTTTTTCAAATAATAGATTTTCTTTTGCCGGTAGTTGGTGCTTTTTCTTATGTTATTGGTGTCGTCCATTTTGGTATTGCTTCTTTCACTGATAGTTAGTGTCTTTTCTCGCATCATTGGTGTCATCCATTTTGGAGCTTCTTTCGCTAGTGGCTAGTGTCTTTTCTTGCGTTGTTGGTGTTAGTGTTTCTTTCCCTAGTAGTTGGCATTTTTCTTGCATCACTGGTGTTGATTTTTTTTCATTAGTGATTGGTACTTTTTTTGTGTCGTTGGAATTGATGGTTTCAGTGTTTATTTCACCAGTAGTTCTTCAGTTCACAGTAGGGCTTCGAATTTTGTCTCAGGTAAGTATACAGTTTTTTTCTTTTGCCTAGATTTTGTTTGTCTTTGGTGATTTGGTAAGTTTTGTATAGACTAGATGGCATTGTATTAGGGCTAGAGAGTCTTGGTTAGAGTTAGATATGTTTTTTTTTGCTTTGTAAGTATTATCTTTTTTTTTCAAGTTTTTTAGGTGCATTTCTTTGTGGCTTCTCATCATTGGAGTTGTCCCTTGGTGCTTTCATCACTAGAGTCATCCCTTTCTGTGCTTTTTCTTTATCGTTGAAGTCGTCCATTTCAGTGCTTTTATATTTCTTTTTGTGCTTTGTTTACTGTGTACTAATGTTTGTATTTTTGTTTTAAGACTTTCAGAGGGCTTTTCTTGTGGGTTTTCGTCATTGGAATTACCTATTTCAGTGCTTTTTTCATTATTGAAGTTATCCTTTCTGGTGCTTTTTCTTTGTGTTAGAGCCATCTTTTTTTCGATATTTCTCCCGTTGCTAGAGTTGTCATTCTAGATATATCTTCCATCACATTTTGCGTGTGTTGTTACGGGTTCATTGCATTGATTTGGAATCATCATTTTGTTTCGTTGCTTTTATCATGTCATTATTGGCACGTTGCTTCTTGTTGTTGTTTAGATTTCATTTTGGTATTTCTCTTACTAGTGTTGCCAATAGTAATGTAGTTTTGTTAAAGATTTAGATAGTTAGGGTTAGAGCAGGGTTGGTAATAGATAAGCTCTATTGGGAAAATTAGCCAATGGAGCCAATGGAGTGAATGGATAGTATCCATTGGTTCTATTAGCTCCATTGGCTCCATTGAATTATATATATATTAATTTATAAAATTATTAATAATTTTTGATCTACTGATCCATTTTGAGTGATTTAACTACCAAAATGTTCGTCATGATATGAGGATTCTAATAAGCCCAAAATCGCTAAAATCCAATCATAGGTTTCAAGATCACTTAATTTTTGCACAATTTTACTAAGAGTTAAAAACTCTTATTAAAATCGTACAAAAATTAAGCGATCTTGAGACTCTATAATTGGATTTTAGCAATTTTGGGCTTGTTAGAATCCTCATATCATGATGAACATTTTGGTAGTTAAATCACTCAAAACGGATTAGTGAATCAAAAGTTATTAATAATTTTATAAATTAATATATAATATATATATAATATATATATATTATAGTTATTATGTTGGCCTTTATTGGCTCCATTGGCAAATTATTCCCAATGGTGCAATGGAGCAATGCCAATGGAGGTCTTCTCCATTGGGCCTAATAGATAAATGTGCCAACCCTGGGTTAGGGTATATATTATATGTAGACTTTAATTTTTTTAAAAAAAGTTTAATAAATTAAAAAATTTTATTGGTTAAATTTGATCATGTGATACTATGATAATTATTTCTATTTTTTGGAGACGTCTAAAGCAGAATAGATTCTTATAATATATATTTTATTGAATTAACTTTTGGGTTAGAGTCATCTTGAATTAGAGTTAGAAAGGTTTTAGGTAGTTATATAGACAAAATTGCCTTCTTGACATTTTTACTTAACTTATTCTAGGTTTAAACTACTATTTTAAGTTTTTCGTTTTTATTTCTTGCTTTTGCTTTGTTGGCGATCATTAAAATTTTATAATTTGATTGGTCGTATATCATGTGATTCTGTTCCACTTTAGATGACCCAATACCTGCGATATATAAGTGTATTGCACTTTAGATGCGAAATATAAGTGCTATACAGGGATGTGATATCTAGATTTGTCCTTAAAATTATTATGATTAAATTATCAGATTACAAGTTATTAATAATAAATCAAAATATAAAAATTTAATTAAAATACAAATTTAATTAATACCAAAAAAAGTAAGGTGTGAAAAGAGATAGAATGTAGTACAGAGATTTGTGAACCTTAAAAGGATGAAGTAGGTAATGGTAGAGGTTTAATGGTTACGCCCTAACCCCAAGTATATGAATTAAGACATGGCGTAAGTTACTGAAGTCTAGATAAATACATATATGGGAATATACCACTCTGGTGGGTTTACCTCGAGGATAAACTAGTCCTAAGTCTGGCTATTAATCTAGTAGTGTTGCATAGATTCATGACGCCCTGGTAGCATATAGTGAAGTTACACCTGGATTTTAAGTCCCACATGGTGGAAGTAAGAATATGATCAGAGGGTTTAAATGAGTACCACCCTAGTTGGGGTGCAGGTATGGCAGATAGTGTAGAACCTTTGGGCGGTCTACTTAAATTATTCACTCAAAAGGTGCATGTGTGGCTATTTGTACTCTCATTATATACCAAAATAAAACTTAATGATAATAAATCGCCATTGACAAAGAGGTCACCTTTAATACCAAAAAAAAAAAAAAAAAAAATTTAATTAATATTAAAATAATTTTTATTGCTATAATATTTAGATCAAACTAATATAATTCTTATTTCATATAATACAAAATAACTATTAGAAGAAGTAGATACTGAAAAAAAATACAAAAATATTAATACTGTAATTTTATTGGTTGATTTTATATTGTTACAATGCTATGACCTTCTTTGTAACTATATAGCACAGTAACAAGGTTACTTGGTGCAGGGATTCTGCTACTGGAATATACATGAGGTGTATATGGAGTACAATTAAGTATCTATAGCAGAAAATAAGTAGTTTAGTATTAGGATAGTGTATTTTAACCTTTATTTATTATAAAACAAGAGGATAACCTCCTTTAGAGATCCTAAAAAGAGTTATATATTACAAGAGAAAATTATAAAACTAATTCTATAAGAGAGAGGTAATTGAAATCTATCTAAAAACTATAGATATCTGTATTGACTTGTATAAACCTATTTTTACAAGAAGAGATTTATGCTCTCTTTATATATCTTTTACAGAATAGAAGAGAGAATTGAGAGTAATATAACATTGTACTTAAAAGAGTTGAAAAACATACTTGAGAAAGTAGAAGGCCATGTTAAAAAAGTTGAAGACTGTGTTGAGAGAGTAGAGAGAGTTGAGGGAGATGAGGAATATGTTGAGGAAATTTGAGGCCATGTTGAGGGACTTGAAGATATAGTTAAAAAACTTGAGAGCCATGTATAACTTTAGCCACATTATGTGCCACAGTGGCTTTAACTCTCTGTTAATATACTTATACTAATATTAATATACACAATACAAATATAACAAATAATAAATGGAAAATTATAAATAGTGACCCGTCGCCATAGTGACCCCATATGATCAGCCAATCATATTTAAGATTGGTGATCATATATGTCTCCGGTTCGAATTTGATCTCGATTTAGATACGTGGTACAATTTTTTTTTTTGTCATTTTTTTTTGCTGTTTGGATATTAATTTTTTTCAGGTTCCAAGGCTTTGTCATTTTTAGTACGTAGGTTTTAGACCTTTCTTCATCATTTTTGATATGTAGTGCCTGGCTTTATTGTTTTCAGTATTTTTTTTTTTTTTTTAGATACTGGTGTTTTTCTCTTTGTCACTAACTTCTACTTCTTTTCAGGTTTTATGATTCATAATTTCAGTGATAAACTCCAGGCTTCGTTATTATTTTCAGTAAGTATTTAAGTTCTAGGCTTCATTGTTTTTGGTGATTTTTTTTTTAAATACTTGTGTTTTTCTCTTTGTCACTAACTTCTACTTTCTTTCAGGTTCTAAGATTCATAATTTCGGTAATAGGTTCTAGGCTTCGTCATTGTTTTTAGTGGGTATATAAATTCCAGGCTTTGTTGTTTTTAGTGATTTTTTTTTTGGATACTTGTGTTTTTCTTTTTGTTACTGACTCCCACTTTTTTTCAGGTTTTAGGATTCGTAATTTCAGTGATAAGTTCTAGGCTTCGTTATTGTTTTCAGTGGATATATAAGTTCTAGACTTTGTTGCTTTCAGTGATTTTTTTTTTTAAATACTTGTGTTTTTCTCTTTGTTATTAACTCTCACTTTTTTTCAGGTTCTAGGATCTGTAATTTCGGTGATAAGTTCCAGGCTTCGTCGTTGTTTTCAGTGAGTATATAAGTTCTAGGCTTCGTTGTTTTTAGTGATTTTTTTTTTTTGGATATTTGTGTTTTTCTTTTTGCCACTAACTTTTACTTTCTTTCAAGTTCTAGAATTTGTAATTTTGGTGATAAGTTCCAGGCTTCGTTGTTGTTTTCAGTAGGTATATAAGTTCTAGGCTTCGTTATTTTCAGTAATTTTTTTTTTTTGGATACTTGTGTTTTTCTCTTCATTACTAACTCCCACTTTCTTTCAGGTTCTAGAATTCGTAATTTCAGTGATAAGTTCCAGGCTTCGTCGTCGTTTTCAGTAGGTATATAAGTTCTAGGCTTCATTGTTTTCAGTGTTTTTTTTTTTTGGATACTTGTGTTTTTCTCTTTGTTACTAACTCCCACTTTCTTTCAGGTTCTAAGATTTGTAATTTCGGTGATAAGTTCTAGGCTTCGTTGTCATTTTCGGTAGGTATATAAGTTCTAGGCTTCATTGTTTTCAGTGATTTTTTTTTTTTGAATACTTGTGTTTTCTTTTTGTCACTAACTCCCACTTTCTTTCAGGTTCTGGGATTCATAATTTCAGTAATAAGTTTCAGGCTTTGTCATCGTTTTCAGTAGGTATATAAGTTCTAGGCTTCGTTGTTTTCAGTGATTTTTTTTTTTGGATACTGGTGTTTTTCTTTGTTTTTCTCTTTGTCACTAACTTCCACTTTCTTTCAGGTTCTAGAATTTGTAATTTCAGTGATAGATTCCAGGCTTTGTTGTCATTTTCAGTGAGTATACAGTATAAGTTCTAGGCTTCATTGTTTTCGGTATTTTTTTTTTTTTTTGGATACTGGTGTTTTTCTCTTTGTTATTAACTATTCTTTCAGGTTCTAAGATTTGTAATTTCAGTAATAGGTTCTAGGCTTCATCGTTGTTTTCGGTGAGTATATAAGTTCCAGGCTTTGTGTTAGGTTCCGGGCTTTGTCACTGTTTTGTATCGTTTGCATGATTTCGATTTTTTTGCTGCTCTTTCTGCTTGAATTTCACCTGGCTATTCGTTTACTGAAGTGGGTAGGTGGGTGGGCATGTTTTTTTTAGTTATAGTTTTAATGTTAGTTTTATTAGTAGTACTTTTTTTTTTTAAATAAAGTGCGAAATTTGCACCAGATATATAGAGGTTATGATATCATAATGCAATAATACCAAAATAAATTAAATAATGTATTGTTGATAAAAATTTTGGGGTTTCTCCGATGATATGATTACTTTTTTTTTTTTTTTTTTGTTATGCGATATTTTTGGCGATCGATCAATCAATCAAAATCGGACCCATAAGTTACATGTTTGCCAATTTGCTCTTTGCAAATTGGTAGACACGTGACTCACGTAATTGGTTTTGATTGGTTAATCGTGGGTCGCTATAAACTAATACTTATAATAAATATCTAATTCAAAATACAAGTTAATAAATATAAAACTAAATATATAAATAAACTATAAAATATAAGCTATAAAATATTAACTACGCTAAACTACTAAATATTGTAAAAACCTGTTTTATAACAATATATAAGATTTAAAAATTAAAAGAGATCAAATATTAATTACCTATAGTTAATTTGCCAATTAAAATCCAGGATCAGGTGTAACATGTAAATCAACTTTGTATAACAAAAACAAAGAATTTTTTAAAAAAATGCTTATATTTCAAAATTTTGTCTATAAACCACTTTTTAAGTTTTAACAAAAAAAAATTTCTTGCTAAATTTTACTATAAATAAAGTATTACTTTAATCTCTAAACTCTAACCTCTAACCTCTAACCCTATCTAACCCTAATATTAAAGAGGTTTATTTTGGTTTTATTTATAAAATTGTTTTTTTTTTTATACATTGTAAATCATAGATGATAATTACCTGTAGTAAACATTAGATTATTTCTATTATTATTGTTATTTTTTAAGCAATCTTATCTTTATTTATTTATTTAAACTACTATATAGTGATATGTTATATCAAAATAATATATTATTTATTTTTAATAAAGACTTACCAAGCGAATGCCCAATATAACCTATTTTAACAACCAAAAATTTTGTAATAACTAAAATTACTTTTTTGATTATTGACAAGTCATTGTATACTGTATTAAGATCTTTTTTTTTTCTTTTCTAATTTTTTCTTCTTCTCAAGAGGCATAAAATAAAAGAAAGAATTTATAAAAATAAATAAAATAAAAACAGCTAAGAAAAAACAAAATAAACTACAAAAATCCTAAAGAAAAAACTACAAATTTTGAAAAAAAAACAAAGAAAAAAAAAACCCTAATACAAGATAGTATAGCTATACTGTTGGTTTAAAAATTATTTAATACTCTTAAATTTAGCTCTACTCTAGATTTAGCCTGCATTATATGAGCTTGGTGCTGAGAAAAAGACAAAAATTCAATTTTTTTAAAAGTTATTTTTTTACATAAATTAATTTAAAATAAAATTAGGATTATTTTTTACTTAAAACACAAAAGTGGTTGTATTAATAAAATTTTGCAGTATAGCTTCTTAAAATTTGCATTTTCTTATAATTTAGTATAAAATTTATAAGATAAAAATTGATTTCAATGATCTTTTTTTTGTCAATTTTTACTCTTTTCTTAGCACCAAGCTTATATATAAAAAGGAGTTGCATGAATTTTTTAGAAGGCCTCCAATTAGTTTTTGTACTATATGAGTGCTGTCAATAGAAAACCTGGCATCGGACATTCAATTATATTTTGTATACAGTTAGCCGTCTATAGAAAATCTATTGTCATGATATATTTTTCATAGATGGCTAACTGTACACAAAATATAATTAAAAGCCCGATAACAGGTTTTCTATTGACAGCACTTATATAACACAGTTTGTGATTTCTTATACCTTCTGTTTCCAATTTGTAATTGGTAAACAATACAAATTTTCTGTAATTTTTTATGACTCCTGTTTTCAATTTAAAATTAGTAAACAATCCAAATTTTTTGAAGAGAGTATGTTAATTTTTTAGCAAAAATTTTTGAACTAAATGAGAATGTAAATAGAGTTTTTAATTGCATATTCTTCAAAAATTTTAAAAGAGTGTGTTAAAAAACTTGGTTTTGTTATTTCCTACTATTTTGCTATAATTAATTTTGTTAATAGAAAAATTTTATTCTTTTACTAAAATTTTCTATACAAAAGTATTATCTTCTGCCAGTTATCTTGTATAAAGATGCTTTTGGCTTGCATGTTAAATATATAAAGAAGTTTTTAAGAGTAGTAGTTAACCTTTATAAAACCATACTCTGTGTTGTTTTACTACACCTTGGATACAGGCAATGCTTTAACAAAATTTGGTTTTCTTTAATGAAAAAATTTAGTTTAAATAATTATTAGAAAAAGTTTTGAATTTTAGAATTTTTGAGAAATTAAATATTATTAATTATTATTAATATATATTAGATTCATATAAATTTTAAAAAATAGAAGAAAAAAGGTTATATTAAATAAAAAATTAAATTAGTCTAGTTTTATTAGAATTTAAATTTATTTTAGTTATAATAAAAATACAACTATATAATTATATATACAACTTTTAGTTATTTATTATAATTTAAATAGTTTGTTTAAAAGGTTTATACTAGTATAATTTAACTAAAAAATTATCTATTTATACTCTTTAATTTTAATTTAATTTATTACTAAACTAATCTTCTATTTATTCAATAAATTTTTAATTTGCAATTAACTTTAAAACTTTAAAATAAATTTAATAAAGTAATATACTATATTATATACAGTCAACTCCCTCTAAGTGCATGTTCTCTAAGTATATTTTCTCTCTATATGCATGAAAATAGCTTAATCCCAAGTCAGGACTTATAAAATAAGTGCATGTTTTATATTCTCTAAATGCAGATTATTTTTCAAATTATAAATATAAAAATATTTTCTCTAAATGCATTTTTAATATATTAACCAATCAAATTTAAGAATATTTATTTAAATAATAAAACAATTAAAATTTA